CGATCAGATCGCCACCGTGAAGATATCCGCGAAATGCTCGGATGTCATCAAGCATGTACCAGCGCTATGAGGCACTGCTGTCGAACGTGTATTTCTGGTTATTACCGAATTCTGTACTTATTCGTTACTCGATTCATTGCCTGTATCACTCTAAATTCTGCATATACTTTGCCTGTATCATGGTAAGGCGTTTCACTTAGGAACGGGTAGGGAACGAGCGGAGGATCGTGGTGGGAGGGGGGTAGAAAAGGGGTCAGGAGGCACCTAATTTTCCCGCATACGAAGGGATAAAGCGTGAACACTTAGTGAAAATGCCTATAAAAAATTTAATTAAAATTAGACACACAAAAGAAATTAAGAAAGCAAAATTTCGGCATTAAATTTAATTAAAAATCTTTTCTTGCGAGAAGGATTTCTCTTCCATGCATTTCCCGGCTAAGTGCTTGGATGTTTTTCGTTTTGCAGCGACAACATTTGGCACGAATTTTCTCTTCCACGGAGTCGAGTTTAGTTTCTTTTTCCCAGCAAATTCTCGTTTAGATTCTGGTATCCTTTATTACTGAGCTACCCTGGCAAACTACGTGAAAATCCTGTTTATAGCGTTATTATCCCGCAATCTGTTACTTTTTTGGCCTTTGAAAAAGGCGAGTTTTTGTTTATTGTGCAGCTTTAAACGAAGTTATTATTAGTTCTGGGGGGCACTGAAGACAACATTTCGATAAAAACTTGGTGTTAATTCGAATTCCCGGCTCAGCTGGCAAAGTTCAAAGAAACTTGATATTGAACGTTAACTTTCGAATATAATTTAGGAACTGATTCTGTTTTGAATTATTCAATAAATGAAGCATCAGATGGCGTGGAATTTACTACTGAAGCTTCAAATTTCTCAACACTGTGCCTGTTAGTTAAGATTTCCTATTACTTGTATTTAATAACTGTACATAAATCGCTGTTACACGTGTCCGTTATCTGTTCGATTTATGCTTTTTTTTTTGTTTCGGAGGAAATACTTTTATCAGTTTAGTGCAGATCGACGGTCACTGAGCATTGTACATTTTGCCTATCTCTACTGTTTTATTATGTGTCTTCAAGGATGCTTCTGTAAATCAGTCAATGAAAATTATTTCCTTTCAGTTTGTTTTTAAGCAATTCTTGAAGAGGGGGCCTCTAGTACTCTTGTCAGCGGACGTTTTCTTTTAACAGTGTACTAACATTCGGGTTATTTCCAAGCTTTTCCATTACGGAGTGAAATAATGTAGAAATTTTGGTTTTTTTTTTTTTTCAAGAGCCTATGCATTTCCGCAGCAAAATCTTGCTTGGCATTCTCTTGTTAAAAACAGTTTACTGACAACACCAACAAAACAAATAACACTGCACAAAGCGTAGATGATTACTTTTCTAGTCACCGTTTTCTCTTTCGTTTTCCCTGCAAAATATTAAATGTCTGATAATCACATATTTCTAGAGATCGAATTAAAAGTATTAGGTGCCTGCTTAATTTTCCAGGCACAAATACTGAAATTTTGAATTTTTAATCTCCCAACCTTTTCCTTTTTATTCTTCATTGCGAGGCGTGGCTTTTTGGAGAGTTTTCCTTTTCTTCCCAGTTTTGTTCGCTTCTTGCCTGCCCGTCGTCCACCCTCATCTTCAGCATTTTGCACCGCCATATAATTACCAAAATGTAATAATTCGTCCAGAATATTCTGCCGATTTTCGAGTCTTTTCTTATGTCTCTCCTTTTTCGACACTTGCAAGCGAATGAGATAATCTTCTTCGTATCTAAACAAGAGCAAAACTGAGCGTAATACACCCAATAATTTAGAGAAAAAATAGCAAACAATTTTGAACAATCAGATTTCCGAGACGAATCTTGAGGGGGAATGGAGGAAAAATTATTGCTGATAAGCTTACTTTTGCTTCTCCAAATCCTTCTGCTTCCTTCTCCTCACGATACTATCATCCTGTAAGCAACAATGCCTGTTAGCGACCAAAGAAAAACACAACGCAAAAAGATAAATGTTGAGCAGTGCGTCTTTGATTACCGTGAAATCCTACTAGCCGCTGCTTAGATTTAGCCAAAAGTAATACGCGTTGTAGCATAGCAGTGCCAAAACCCGATTTATACTACAAAACCTAAACAAAGACAATTTAACACCGGGCCTACTTACAAACGCAGTTAATACAACAGATACTGAGGACCACTGATGAAAAATGTCTAGATGTTTCACTCAAATTTTTGTTCGGTTTCACAAAGTTTTACGATTACTAAAAATCGACAAACATTCCTATTAGCAGATAAATAGTGCTGGATCGTAGCATTTTTTTTTTCTACTGGGTCGTAAACTAATTCGGATGAAAGGCCTTAAAAACTATTTTGACTGCACCGTTAACAAAGCATCAGATGAAAATATGTGGCGATGATACCTGAAATTCTTCCGGTGCTTCACTGTACTGTGCTCGTAGGTCCTGGATTAGACTGCTTTGTAAAGCTCGTCG